AATAGAATAGAATAGAATAGAATAGAATAGAATAGAATAGAATAGAATAGAATAGAATAGAATAGAATAGAATAGAATAGAATAGAATAAATAATACTAATGGGTAAGAAGTTGCACTGCCAACTCAAAGGTAAGTAGTTCAAATCCACTAACTGCTTTGCAAGAGAAGGATGGGCAGTCCCCTCGCATGCAATTTATAGCCTCCAGAAAACTCAAAGAAGAGTCAGCTATGAGTCAGTTCCAACTCAACAGTACATAAGAACAAGAAACAGCTTTTGTTCCAGGTATTTTCTCTACTAATTCTTATAAACTTTCTAGTTTGTAAATATATTACCCCCCCCCACCCCGAAAAGCCAAACACCAGGCTGTCAAGTCCAGCCCAATGTATAGCAACCTTCAGAGGGTTTCTGAGACTGAATCTCAATAGGAGGGGACTGCTCATCTTTCTTGTGAGAAGCAGATGGTACACTCAAACCATCAATCTTTTGGTTAACCGTGCAATATGTTCAACACTCTGCTACAAGTGGTCTTTAAATATACTATAGAAATGTAAAAATTCATTCATATGCATATACCCCAATCTGTAACATACATGAGAAAGAAAAATGTGATTTATGATGGATGTATACCAGGAGATAACTCTTTATGATAGAAAATGTTTTCAGGGTCTCAGACTTCTTTGGCTTTTAAAGAACATTAGTGGCACAGAGGTTAGGTACTCAGCTGCCAACTGGAAGGTCATAGGTTTGAAACCACACATGGCTCCACAGTTGGAAAGAAATGGTGAGCTGCTCCCACAAAAATATCTACTAGGAAACTTCAGGGGCAGTTTTCACTCTGTCCATTCTGTGAGTAAAACCAACTGACCACACAACATTTTGCCTTTGATAAGAAAAAGACAGAATATATTTAAGACATCACGGAAACAAGTACAGAATTGTACACAGTTTAACTAAATATATTCCAAGAGTAGAAGCAGTCAAGTCTTCCAATTTATTTTTTAGTTTAATGATTCAGAAATATAAACCTTAAACTATATCTGTATTTGTCTATCTGTCTTTATATACCTTCCTCAATAACATTTAAGGAATCCCTTCTGGTACAATGGTTAAGTTCTTTAGCTGCTAATAGAAATGTTGCTGGTTCAAATGAAACAGCTGTTCCATGGATAGAAGGTGTAACAGTCTGTTTCTATAAAGATTACAGCCTTAGAAACCTTTGAAGAAGTTCTATTCTTTTGAAAACCTTTGAGGAAGTTCTATTCTTTCTAATTGGGTCACCATGAATAGGAATCAACTCATAACAATGAGTGTGGTTTGGGATTTAGTGAAGACCATCTTATATGGGATGGACCACTAATCCTTTTTCCTTTGTGCTGTTGAGAATATACAGAATAAAACATGTACCCATCCAACAATTTCTCCTTAGCTCTGGGGGCCTAGTGATCACGGGCTGTGCTGCCATCCTACAAGGATGCGGTTCAAATCCACCAGCTACTCCATGAGAGAAAGATGAGCAATCTCTTCCCTGTCATTGAAACACTGCCTTTGAAAACTCACTGGAGGGTCAGCTTTGAGTTGGTTCTGAATCAATGATAAGACAACAACAGTTCAGTGACACTGATTCTTTTCTATGTTAAACAAGGTTTCTTTTATTGGTTTTAATTTTCAAACGTTGGTTTTAAAAACATCCTTTTGTGCTTCTGGTGAAAGTTAGCACAACAGATCAGTTTTTTATTCATGAATTCATATACTGACTGCACAGTAACGTCGGTTGGAACCTCCACCACATGCCAGTATGCTTCTCACCTCCATTCTGGGTTTCCTGTTTCCATGAGCTTGGAGTCACTGCTTCTTCCTGCCTCATTTTTGTTTCTGGGAAACCACTGACCTTTTGGTCTTATGCAACTGATGGCTCTAAAAAGTGCAACCCTTATCAGTGTTACTGCTGGTTTTATAGGCCAGTCCGTTATTTGGTAGGGATGTGACATCTGGTAGCTGCTTAAGTTCAATGTGAAAAGAGTGATGTGGGACAATAGTCTCTGGGTTGTCCCTGTCAGGTCTTTTTTTTTAACCAATTTGAGATTTGGCCTACATTTTTTCTCTTTCTCCTATGTCCTTGGTCAGAATGGTTTATAGTGGTAGCCAGGCACCATTTGGTTCTTCTGGCCTCAGGCTAGAAGGAGCTCTAATTCATGTAGACCAGTAAGCCTTTGTACTAATCACTTCCTCTAGTCTTTCATTTTACCTAGACTCCTTTGCTCTGGAAGGGAAGAGGTATTTCTATCTCAGATGGTCTGACCATCATTTTTTCAGATAGTTTATCAAGTGTATGACTTTCTTGAAGTCTTGAAAATAATTATCTAAGGTTTTATTTTAGTTAGAAAATTGTTATTCTCTATACTAAAGCATTTATTTTTTATAAATGCTGAAATTAGAAGGTTTTTATTTTGAGAAAGCTTTTCTGTTTTCTTCCAGTTTTTCACATCTCTGGGTAAAATAAAAGAACAATGGAAGGGCAAGTCATATAGGCCTTAGAAATAATTTTTGATTGAACAAACCTTGACTTAAGCCGTCTTGACAAGATGTTTGCTTAACATCTAAGTTTTCCATGGAATCTCCCTTAGAAATGTCACCAAGAGACGTTCTTCTCTCAAAGATGTTGTTGTTATTGTTAACTTGAGTTCCATTTTGCTTCAGTAGCCTGAATACCTCGGTTTCCAAATCTCTAATCTAGGAAACACAAATTTATTCATAAAACTCTAACTTATCACTCCTCTTCAAATAGTAGGCAAAATAATTTGTTTTGTGATTTTATGAACACAACTCACCCGCACTTGTAGACCTTGAACTTCCACAAGATGAGCTTTTTCTAAATCTTCTATTTTCTTTCTTTCAGCTTCCTGTCTTTTGATGAAATCAAGTTCCCTTGAGAAGAAATAATAGTGTTTGCATCAAACACTCAATAAATAAGGAAAATGTGAACGTTTTTATCTGAAGAACTAAACTATGCAGTGACACAAGTAAACAAAACTTCATCACAGAAGTCGGCAGTAAAGCCTTCTGAAATTTAAGGGAAAAGATTTATCTGTGGGTATAAAAGAACAGAAAAGCATCTTTAGCAAGTCACAAGAAAAACGCTGTAATCCTGTTTAATGAGATTTTCATTTATAGCCCCTGATTCTAGAACATTCATATAGTTAGAAGCTACTGCACTAATGACCCACTCTGGGTAGTTTTGTGGCAACAATGGTGTGCTGGATGGAAATAATTCCACATTTGCAATGTCATTCACAAAGTCAAGTGATGATACTGAATGGCAGGATTTCAATATGAGAATCACAGTAAAAAACTGGTTTCTGCCAAAGAGGATGATGGATCGTCAGAGACCCTGGAGGGAGTACTAGAACAATGAAGGAGATTATGGGGATGAGAATCACTCCATTTGGAAAGCTTGGAACCAAATACAAAAATTTAGCAAAACCTATTTCAAATTATTGAGTGAAATAGGCATGAAATTTCTAGCAAGAGGAGTTAAAATAACAATTATTGTTATTATATGAATTAAATTCATGTTGGGGGGGAAAAGTCTCCTGATTCTAACAGTAAACTAACTTTTATACCAACCACTTTTAAATGTTTAAGATTTATCTTTATAGTAATAATAAATATATGGCAAATCTTAACAGGTATTCTTAGCGTCTAAGGCTTGGCATGCAAGACCAGAAAACATACTGACACTCATTTTCATAGTCCTAGGACTCCAGAGCTCTGGCCGGGAGCTTTTGTGGCCTTAATGGGTTGAGAGCTTCACTGCCAAACAAAAGTCAGGTGGTTAAAATCTACCACCAGTTTTGTGGGAGAAAAATGGGCAATCTTTTCCAGTGCAATTTTACACCCTCTGGAAACCTGCTGGAGGGTGAGCAATGAGTTAGTTCCAATTCGATAGCATATAACAACAGCACAACTAGCCAGAAACAACTAATGACTATTCCCAGTGATATCTCTCTAGTCATGGAGCTCTGGTGACTTAGTGGGCAAACAGTTGTACTGCCAATACAAAGATAGGTGATTCAAATCCACCAGGTGCTCTGTGGGAGAAAGATGGAAAATTTCTCCTATGTGATACGGACTTTGGAAACCCACTGGAGGGTTAGCGATGAGTGTTTCTGACTTCATGGCACGTGGTAACAACAATAATCTCATTAGTCAACCATCTCGAAATTAAACTGAGTTGCAATATATAAAAACAATGCGACGGTGGCTCAGAATGGAGTACTGAAGTTCAGAAGCAGAGTATAGATAAAACTTTTCACTACAGCGAGTTGAGGGCCTAGTGATTCTCTCAACAGCTGCTAAGCAGATAGACGGGGCAGTGGTCTCACCAATTAACATTAACACTATCTGTAGAGGGAAAAGTCTGTCTTACTAACTCTATAAATGCCAACAATGTGTCAACCACCACTTCTCATATACCATACCCCAAACTCATTCTGCATTTCTTCAGTTGGGTTTCTTGATTCTAAATTACAGAGATGTTTTAAAAAGGAGAAAATGAATCAAATGTTGTTATTCTTGATTAGAAAAAAAATAATCAGGAGGCAAATGGCTCTCAAAAATTGTAAAATAGAAAAAAAAATTTAATAGGAAAAGATAAAAAAATGCTACAAACTCTCAGAGTATAATGTTGAGGTGATCTTTTCTATTTCAATAGACACGAAACAATTAATGGATATAAATGGATATAAACAAATATTCTAGTATCATTAGAAACTGCTTACTTTTGCTGAAAATCCTTGATCAACTTCTTTGCCTTGTTATATTTCTTCTCCAGTGCCTGATACTGGCTTTGAGTCTCTTTGAGGTGTTCATTCACTGTGTGGCATAATGTTTGAGCCTCAATCCAATAACTCTCCAATTTTAACATTCTTTCTTTATTCTCTTCTATATTTTGTTGGAGTTGATTTTTTTCTAATTCCCACCGGACTTTCTCATTTTCTGCTGCTTGCAGCTGAAAACCACAAATGTCAAGGGCAAGAATCACTGGGTATTACTCCAACAAAAAAACAAACAAACAAAAAGTTCCATTTTTTTTATAGTATCTATCAGATTAAACTCCATTATTTAAGACACTAGATCATCAAAGCACAATGAGATTAGAAGAGTAGGTATTATGTTCATTATACATCAGATGAGGAAATGACAGCCACACAAAGTAAAATGATTTTTCCAAGGTCACACATATGACAAATTATAAAACATAGACTTAATTTCAAATCTTGTGATCTTTCCATCACACTATATGTGGTCTGAAGTTTGTGAGCAATAAAAGAGTATGAACAGGAAAGGTAAAAGACAGTAAGACAGTATTAAAGGACAAGGTAAAAAGAAAGGAGGAAGTATTACAAGGCCCAATCACCAAGAGTGGAACTTGGAAGTCATTCAGCTTAGATTTTAATCCCAGCTCTGTCATTATTGTCTGTTTAATCTTGTGCAAGTAAATGAAGTTTTCTAAGACTCAATTATATCATCTGTAAAACAAAATTGTGATATAACACTTTGGCGTGCTTAAAACAGCTTCTTGGACATGGGTATCAGAGAGAAGTATATGTGAGCTACTTTTACTTTGGTTTTAACCCTTCTGATACTTCAGTTCAATTGACACGGATATAGGCTGTAGTTCACTATTTGCTGGCAGTTCTGTGAATTTCTAAAGACTTGTAAATCCATATTTCCATAAAAGAATAAAAGACAATATAAGCAAAAACAGAAATAATTGCTTAATTAACTTAAATGCCTCTGATGCAAGGTAAAAATAAAAAAGAGCTTCTACTTTCTACTTCCAGGCATTCCCAGAAGTAGATAACATAATATTCCAACTCCCTCATTTTCTACAGAAATTAAAGGCTAAGCCATTAGACAAGGGTTAAAGGTCATTTGTTTAACACAGTGATTGACCCTCAAGCTAGTGCTTCATTTAATTCATATACCTCATTTAGAGTTCAAAAGGATGCAGGGTCATTATAAACTAATTGTGTTCAAAATTTAAGACATTAGAAAACCAAATAGCATTCACCAAATATATGTGTATGCATCTATACACATCCTCTAAAGAGAGAATGTATTCCTATTTTTATATAAATAAATTGAAAGTTTACAAGAGTAAAAGAAATGTCAACATTTCAAAATTGGTCATTTTATTATCAACATGAATCATGAAGATATAGTAAAGTAAGTGTAATCTTTGGATATTATATATTAATATAAGAAGAAAAACATAAAATATTGACATACAACCCATTGTTCTTAAGGGATTTTAGACTCATAGTGACTTTATGAATATGTATATTTTTTTCTTCCTAAATTAAATGCTGATAGTCAAAGACTTAAGTTCTATTAAAGCACTTAGATTCATGGGGAAATTTTAATTTTTCTGATTCCAACCAACAATTAAAATAAAGCAAAAAACTTCTGTTCTCTCATTCTCTGTCAAGAAGTAATAACTTAATAACAGAACTAGGCTTTTAAATGCATTACTTAATAAGCAAGCTTTTGTATCCAGGCTGTTTATTTATCAGCCACTACTAATTTAAAAATTATTATTCACAGAGCTGAGCTGACACCATGAATGATCTATAGACATGTTTTGTCTGAAGAGCTTAAGTGTGTATTAGCTGAGAATACCAAAATAGCCTTGCTAATTCATCTTTATTTAAAACATATGGAAAAAACCAAAACAATGTTCAATGTGAACAGGAAAACAGATCATTAGTGGTGGGAGGAAAATTAAGTCATAATTTCTAAAGGACCATAAAAATGATAAAGAATGTTACTTTCAAAAAAAATTAAAAAGACAGTTATAAATCTTTTAAACTAGTGATTTGATTAAACTAGATCCACTTTCTAGAACTGTGTCTCATATACTTTATACCTTTATCAATTAAAAACCTTCTTATTCTACACATAAACCAAAAAGGATGCTCCCTTTATTCTAGATATGCTTTATTTTCACAAAGTTTAAGTGATATGAAATAAGCTTGTTTAAAAGTTTCCAGTAGTATCTGACACCTGAAATCAAGTATACATGGTATACAGTTGCTATGACATGTAATTGACTCAATAGCAATAGGATTAGATATTATATTAAGTGAACATTTAATTATTAGAAATTTGGCATTATTTTTTCCTACCAAAAATGTCTATGATACATTAAATCAGTATCTTTTTGACAAACAAGCTAAAAAGAAATGATCTACTTAAAATAAGATAAAGAGAGGTTGTGTATATATAGTAAACTGTGCCTTCAATATTAGTGATTAACATGTATAACTGGACACATATGGGCAATAAAGTAAAATGTGATATTGCTGTATTGAGGGTGGGAATGGAGGTGTTCTCATGGTCGTTTGTCTACACACTTCATACTAGAAACCAATGACTGGTGAAGCAGCTACATTCGTTTACATGCACAGGAACAAATCTTCTAGCCCAAGGGCTGAACATATGAAGAGGATCTAGAGTTTTAAAAGTGCAATTCAGTCATCATGTAGTGGTTCTTACCTTTGTCTTCAGTTTCTGAATCTCAGCTTCTGTAACTGCATGTTTGATCTGCAGCTGAAAGTTGAAAAGGAGAGGAAAAGAAATCTAAACTAAGAGAGTGAATATATACTCTTAAATGTGAGCAGCGAAAAGAATTACTTATTGCCTAGCGGAAAGCCTAGACTATTGCTGCAATGCAGCAGGTTACATTAAAATGTCTACAATGTGTACAATGACTCATTGGGTTCAAACTAATTAAGCACAGGGTTTATGGCCCACGCACCCTAACATCACATTAGTTTGCCAATGTAACTGCTCAGGGGCCAAAGATAATAAAACATTTTCCTGCCCTCTTTTCAGCTCTTCCATTATGATCTGGGTATCAAGACATCCCATAAGGAACTGTTTTCTTGCTGGTTTGCCAATTGAACCGCTTAAGTGGGCAAAATAGCAGTGCCTGGGTGAAGTCAATTCCAAATCTGGAGGGAAGGTGGCGCCGTGGGTCCATGAGTCGCACATTCTGCTGTGCAGCTTCTGAATAGAAGGCTGCAAAAAGAGAAGCAGAGATGATCTGTTTCCATAGCTTAATTTGTGATTTTAAAAATTGGAGGAAAAAAAGAGATACTGATTTTTTAATCCTTCACAATATTTATTCTATTGAAGACTTAGTCCTGAAAAGCTTTATTGTCTAGAGCTGTCTAGTAATTTATGAACAAGAGGCTTGAATCTTATCTATCCTGTGCTGTCATCATCTCTGACAAGCTTGAGCCCACTGCTACCATCACTGTGTCTGTTCATCTCACTGTGTCTCCTTCTCGCTGACCCTCTACTTTCCCAAGCACAATGTCCCTCTCCAAGAACAGCTTCTCCTCACAACTTGCCTGAAGTATGAGAGAAGAAGCTTCATCGTTTTTATCTCCAACGAGCATTCTGGCTGCACTTTCCCCCAATACATGGCTGTTTGCCCTTTTGACAAGTCATGAAGTCTACTTTGTAGTCTACCATTTACGTAGGTTTGTTTTTCTTCTCCCAGAAACCTTAGTTTTTCCCCCAGTAAGGGTGGAGGAGACAATTTCTTTGAGATTGTATTGTTTGCTATCGTTTTCAGTTGCCCTCGAGTTGATTCAAACTCCACATGGGCTGAGTGGACCTGCCCCAGAGGGTTTTCAAAGACTGTGGTCTTTTGACCTGCCCTCTTAAATGCCTCTTGGATAGGTTTGCAGTCACCCACTAGCCCTTAACTGTGTGTGCTCACATACTCTAATCTAAAGCCCTGGAAAACGAATGTTCTTGGAATTAGAATTCTTTGGTCAGGAATGGTGGAAGGAGGCATCTTGTAGAAACTGCAGTTTTGCACAGCTGGGAGCCATCCTATACTCAAATACATTAATATTTTTCACCAAATATAGAACTATTTGCACTAAGTAACGTACAGAACAACTACACATAGCATCCTGTTAGCTTGGATCAGGGTTTACCACTTAATGAGTTTGCCAGCAACTTAACAAAAATGACACTTTTCAGAAATTCAAGATGAGGATTTTAGTTTTGTATCCAAGAGACCTTGAATGTGACTGAAATAAAATAGATCTAAGAAAAGTTTTCTTGCTAGAAAAAGCAATTATACAGGTGACCTTACCGGCCGGCATAAGGACAGAAATATGGAGTTCTCAGATAAGCAATGAGAGTTCTGGAGATGCAAATACCATAATAAACCTTAGCACTGTTTTGTAACCTGCATTTTCATGGTATGTTCTCAGTTAGTGGGGGACATATGTGAGCGGGGAAGATGGCAAGAACAAACCAGGAAGGACTAAAAATGCCAATGGCAATTAAAGATGCCAGTAGCAAAAATCCAGTTCTTAAGGGCCCCCTTGTGGCTTTGAGCTTCGTGAGCCTCGTAGTGAAGTCTGAGTCAGCTCTTGACCTACAGATGTAATCTTTTATTCTGTCCCGATCATAGGAGCTCTGCGGCTGTTACCCCTTTTACCTCAGAGGCTCACAGGAGTGTTTCTGAAGAGGAAGGGTTCTGGGGTACCAGAGTCATAACTCATATTTTATGAGTCCCAGAGAGTCAGATATGGCTGTCTTAGTTCTCTACTGTCCTCCTAGCAGTGGTGATAGTGGTTACGTGCCAGCAAGTCGATTGTAATTTACAGTGATACTGTATGATGGAGTAGAATGACCCATGGGGTTTTCTAGGCTTAAATCTTGATGGGAGTAGATTGTCAGGCCTACCTCCTGCAGAGTAGTTGGTCGGTTTGAACAGTTAATTACTGCACCACCAGTGCGGTCTCCTCTAGTGGTATTAATTCTCTCTTGCTTTCATTTACCAGAGGTTCTGAGCCCGAGGGTACATGACAAGAAGTGTGCCACAGGCCTTTCGTGGCAGAGATTGGAAGGGGCTGAGAAAGCAATGCTGGTACATCACAGCGACTCCTTTCCTGTCACTGAGGATGCCCTGCGTCCACTCACAGCCCTGTCTGGATGCATCATTCATGAGACCTGACACAATGCCAGGGAACTGAGTGCGTAGGCCCGTGTATATCCTCAGTTCTGAGCCCTACCCTGCACTCATTATTACAGAATTACTTAGGCTCATTTTGTTTAGACATGGAAAAACTAAACCAAAGTATAAGCCTTCAATAAAATTCAATATAGTCGTGACCTTAAAGCTAGCCTCTATTAAAATCAGCCATTACTTTGTTTCAAAAAGTAAAAGTGAATGATCTGAAGTGTGATCATCTCAACCCCATTTCTTAGTTAAAAGTACTAGAAGCATTCACTGCCATGCTGGATATAAACAAAATAAACACATACAACCACCTTTGAGTCTATTTGCAGAATAGAAATAAATCTGTGGGCCAAGTGCCAGATCTTATTTGCATGGTGCTTAATTCCTGGCAATGTAACCAAGGATATGACACACAGCTTGTGAGACTTCTTTGCTCAGATGCTGTGACCTCCGGCAAGTTATTTTTCCCACATGAAAACTGAGTGGTCTGAATAGGAAGAACTCCAAGACCCTCTGGAATAGCACAGGCACAAAATGTATGAAATGATAAGCTTGGAAGTGGTTGTTGAGATAGTAAAGCCTAGAAACCCATATTTCATTTTCTTAACTGTCTAAACTAGACTCATATTCTGATGTGTGTGTGATCAGTTTCAGGTATAACACCTCAAGTTGATCTTCAGTTATTCCAGCTCTCCTGTCTTACCAAAATGGATATGAGAAAGGAGATGAAGTCATTAGCAATGGGATGAGGATGATAAATAGAATCAGTCTTACTCCCCCTACAGGAGGGAAGAATAAACTAAGAATTCAGAAATTATTCAGAAGATGGACAAAAGTTTTTTAGTGCAAGGTTTTCTTAGCATTCATCAATTCTAAAAGTATATCTGTATTATTTTTATCTTGCTTGCATATGAAGAAAATGTCTACAGATCCACTACTATTCACAGGAAAAGCATGAAACGCGAACTCCGGTTTACTGTCAAACAAAGGTACATGATTCGAATCCACTAGCCAGATGGGCAATCTCCTCTCAGGTGATGTACTGCCTCTGAAAACCCACCAGAGAGTCAGTGAAGAGTCAGTTCCAACTCAATGGTATATAACATCAACAAAAATTTTATATAGAAAGAAATGAATGTTTAGTAAATCTGATTCAGAGAGACAGGCTTTCTAAATCTCAACCCATAGTTCTTGCCACCAACAGTAGCAGTACTACACTTGTAGAATTTTTTTAAAATATTTTTGTTGGGTTTGGGGTTGTTTATTTTGGTCATCTTCCTTCTGAACTATAGATGACACTGTAGGGTGATAGAGAAAATATTGCTGACATATTTTACATATACAAAGTTGTTGTTGTTAAGTGCCGTCAAGTCGCAGGCAACTCATAGGGACCCTATGAAGGAGAGTCCTCAACGCTTGGGTGTCTCTCATCCTCTCTCCAGGTTCATAGGGTTTCCAGAGGCAAGCTATTACAGAAGTAGATGCCACTCCTTCTTCCAAACATATACAAAGAGGACCGGAAATATTTTTTGGCTTGTTCAAGTTTCCACAAGAGGTAGGTGATGAAATGGAAAGACCATGGGTTTGATTCCCCGTGCCACTGTTCCTCCCCAAAGGCTGAGTGACAACAATCAGAAGTTGCCACCTTCACTCTTGAATAGCCGGTGTCAGTTTAATCCACTCAGTTGCCACTCACTATAGACATAATCTGAACGAGCTGCTTTACATTACACATTTAATCCTCACAAGAACCACGTCACCATTTCTACTTCTGAGATGAAAAATTATTACTCAGATTAGAAGTCATGGATTGCTTCATGCAGTCTCTGAGAATTCCAACTGAAGGAAAAATGGTGCTCACTCAGCAACTGATGTTGTTAAGAGAACTTAGCAGTCACATCTCACTCATATTTATTCAGTATTTACTGAATGACAGTAAATGACAAATGACAAATACTATGCTATTCACCAAGGAAGAATGAATGTGACAAAAACTCTGCTTTCAAGACCTTTATTATGTGGAGATTAAAAACAGTATCTCCTGAGAAGTTCTCCATATCATACACAGACAGGGAACCAACTTGATTAGTTAGTTGCCTGATGATCTGGCTACTGTACTGTGCTGTACCTGTTAAATGAACTTCGACTTTGGCCTAATTATTGTATCTTGACTCTATGCACTTTATCTTCCAGGAACAGTGGTAGCAACGTATCTGAGACCTCTGTTTCAAGAGGAAAGAAAAACTGCTTTTCAAAAAGACAAAGAGACTTGAGAGGTTGAGTTTTCTAATTCTAGAGCAGTTCTTGCAAATGCTAACCAGTTTTATGTCAAGGATCAATAAACTTCCCAAAGTAAAGGCCCGAGGGTTTACAAACTCATCCCCTGAGAATGGCTAGGCTGACTGACTGCAGGAGAGTAGGTCAGCAGAGCTGATTACTAGAAACAGAGCTTGAAAAAGCCTGCTGGTTTCGCTGAGCCACACGACATCTGGGTGGCAAGAAAGATATGGGATGGGAGGACAAAAATAAAAAGAAAGGTTAAGAATTGCAGGTCCGTGCC